AAAGAAATTGTGCCCTGGATTCAAATTCACATGGCTATTTAAAATTGTACATCCTTCAGTTTTCAATTTCTAAAACAAGGTTTCTCAAAAAAAGTTACTAACATATTGGGAACAATATAATACATTTATAAAAATGAAAAGAAAAGCTCAGAACATGACAGCTTTTTTTCCACTCAGTATTAACCATATTGAAGAGTAAGTGCAGAGCCCATATGGTTATAAAGATGCTCTTAAATTTGAGACTGAGACAAAAAATACAGACAGATGACAAAACATGTAAAAGATGATAGTTGTCAGAAGAAACTATAAAGCTTCCTAACTAAACAAAATAATTTTAAATAATAATCCAAAACAACAAATCCTTAATAATGCTCAAAATAATAATTTGGGCTTCTAACACATTTTTCAAATTAAGATGTCAAACAGCTTGAAATATTAGTAGCTTATATTTTGTACTTTAATGAACCTTCTACAAGAGTCAGCACTCCATTTAACATGAGGGAGTAGTGGTAGAATAAAGTTTAGGTCAAGGTTACACAGCTAGTCTACATAGCCCAAGAGATGATGTCAGCAACGTGGATTCCAAGTCTGTGCCATCACCAGAAGACCAAACTGCCTCTCTAACACTCCCTATGTACAATGCTACGTAAACTATTAGAGATGGGAAGGTGGGGGGCGGGGGGGGAAGTATTCACTGACTGCACATAGCAGGTATGACTTGCTATGCTGAGGGAAAAACAAAAATTAACAAAATCTTCAAGCTTTCCCCCCACCAGCTCAAGCACGTTGTGATGAGTCTGCTGTGTTTCCCCAACCCTCCTCCCTCATCGTTCTGCAAAACCCACCACCTGACGCAGCAAGCGACTGCTGCTTCTTTCACTTAATAGCATACTATACAAGTGGATTGGCATTGACCTCATTTAATCATTATTGTGAAACATAAAAAATAATGTTGTACCACTACACCATTTGATTTAAAAAAAAAAAGTTTTCATGAAGTTTTTTCACTTTTATGAACACATCTCTTGGCAACAAAGAATAGCTCAGCCAATAAACTAGATGTTGAAAATTACTAGTTAAGAAGATTATGCTCTCAATAGCTTTAATAGTTTATTAAGTATTATAACACCTTTTTCAAAGTCAATCTAGCTTCTATTCATAATTTTCTGAGAATTACCCTTGTGCAATTTCTTTGCACAGATGCTGTATTTGGAACATTTACTTGTCATCCCTCCTTTACCGGAACTATTCGGTTGCATTGTTTCATACTGCCATGTGTTCTAAATCAATGCTCTTTTGCTCTACATAGTTTTCCCTTTCATCCTGTTTTTATATAACTGCTTCCCATGTTCTTAATCTACACTTCTTTTCCTTTCTCTACTCATTAGAAGCACAAAGGTTCAACTCAAAAGGTATTACATCATGCTCTTTCCAAACATATCCAAGGAAAACAATTATAAGTGATGAGCAAACACTGTCCAAAGCACTGCAAGATAGCTTTGAATATCTACATTTTTCATGCACAATGTAATGAAAAATGAGCAATCCATACCAGTTTTGTACAAGGAAGTCAACCAGATGGAGAGAGGTTTGGTCAGCAGTCCGGACTGCTAAATGAAGTGCTGTTTCACCTGGCTCCTAAACACATGTAAATAAAAGTTAGATTTTTGTGTCTTATTTCTGCAAAGCTTCTAATATCCGACGTACCGAGATATATGTCACTCTTTTATAACAAGTCTTTCAACAGAAAAATATTATTAGGAAATTCTGACAAAAACAGTTATTGCCTTTCTGATCTCTAGAAGACATCATGTGCTTCAAAGGAAACAGCATCACACTTTCTAATATCACAGCTTTCTCAAAACTAGTCTTCCCTTTTTCCCAGCTGGATGCAGCAATCCTGAGGACCCTTTAACCATTTTAGCTACTAGTAACTAAAAGGGATCCTGTCAAGGAATACTGAGCAAATTTACAGTACTTGTTGCTTTATGACACCTCGGTGACCTGTAAGCATGGCTACAACACTATTTCCTACAAAACCAGGGAGAAAAAACCCACCAAAAGAAACAAAATTTAAAAAAAAAAAAAATCATAGTCCTACATACATTAAATCTCTTACAGAATCACAGAATAGTTGAAGTTGGAAGGGATCTGTGGAGGTCATCTGGTCCAATCTCCCTGCCCAAGCAGGGCCACCCAGAGCCAGTTGCCCAGGATCATGTCCAGATGGCTTCTGAGTATCTCCAGGGATGGAGACTCCACAACCTCACTGGGCAACCTGTGCCAGTACTCAGTCACCCTCACAATTAAAAAAAAAAAAAGTTTCCTGCTGTTCAGAGGGAACGTCCTGTGTGTCAGTTTGTGCCCATTGCCTCTGGTCCTGTCACTGGGCACTGCTGAAAAGAGCCTGGCTCCTTCCTGCTGTACACCATCCTTTCAGGTATTTATATACAGTGGTAAGATCCCCCTGTGCCCTTCTCTTCTCCAGGTTGAATAGTCCCAGTTCTCTCAGCTTTTCCTCATACATCAGGTGCTCCAGACTCTCAAACATCTTTGTGGCCCTTCGTTACACTCTCTCCAGTATGGGGAGTCTCTCTCGTACTGGGGAGCCCAGAACTGGACACAGTACTCCAGCTGTGGCCTCACCAGCACCGAGTAAAGGGGAAGGATCACTGCCCTCAACCTGCCAGCAACACTTTGTCTGCTGCAGCCTGGACACCATTGGCCTATGCCACAAGGGCACACTGCTGGCTCATGTTCAACTTGGTGTCCACCAGGACCCCTAGATCTTTTTCTGCCAAGCTGCTTTCCAGCTGGGTGGTTCCCAGCATATATTGGTGCATGGGGTTGTTCCTCCCCAGACAGAGGGCTTCTTGTTGAACTTAAACGGAATCATACTTTATTTTCTATAAATATAACACATATATTAATGCATCTAAATAAAAATACGGTTTAATTCCATTTAAACGTTGCATAAGAAATTCATCTAAACCCAGATTTCATTACTCCTATTGATCATAAAGGGCATTTAAGAAACCTCCTATATTACAGTACATATATTTAGAAATAGTCACAACTTTTAAAAAAACATTACTTCATTAAACATCAGAGAATTTACAGTGGAGAACGCTGCTATAAATGTCTGAACTGAAGACTACATTCCAACTGGTGTTCTGGGTATCACTGACTGCAATAGCTGAGAAACGCTAAGGAGCTAATTCTGTGGTAACTGCTATGGATGACACATATAGAAAGTGTACCTTGTGTTAAAGAATCTGTAATGTGTTTCCACGATAAGCACTCTGTGATCTCTCAAGTGCTATATTGAACTTATTGCCTCCAAGCACTCTGTCCTTTGCCAAGTGAGCTATTTTCACAGAACTTGTTGAGAACATTCTCTGAGATCTCTCCAAGTTGAGTTCAAAAGTAATGGAAGAAAACATTGCTGACCAAGTGGTTACACAGCATCAATTATCTATAAAAACAGGCTACGTTGCTCTTGAGCAACATTTCTACATGGATACTTGAGGTCAACCTGGACTGATTTTTCTGAAAAGTTGTTACTGACTTCAGAAAGAAGATAAGTATTCAGAGCTTTATTAAAAAAATAAATCTCTCTTCCTCATTGAAAGAAACTGTATTTTTGTAAATGTTTCATCAGAAGCTGTGAAGGCATCAGATTTACTCATTCCTCATAGAGAATAAACAGAGACTTGCATACAGTCATTAATGTGTACCTTCAGCGACCACTTTAAAAGCAGATATAATAATGCATGTAATATCAGGTGACCCTGGGTTATCAAGCGAAAGTCCTCTCTCTTTGGGCCTTTTCCTAAAGGAAACATACTGCAGAACAGGTGCTTTTCAACATACTACAGTTGTACCGAGAACAGTGCATGATGTTACTATTGCATTTCACGCTCCTTTAGAGCAATTGATGACAACAGATATAGTGGTCTTTTCCCTCCCCACAAGGATGCCACGTTAAGGAAAGGAAGAAAAAACCCACCATTTTCATCTGTTATTTCTCTTGTTTTAGTATCAAAGGTAGCAGGTCCTGGACATTTTACAAATAGACATTATTTAAAATACTCTGCTTTGTTTACCTGAAAAGCTTACCTGTCCGGGCTCTAACAGTGGCTCCATTAGCTCTACCCCCTCTGCATAGACTTGAATTAGTGCAAGTAAATCCCTGGATTTGACAGCCTCAAGTAATTCATTCAGTTTAGCTGCTGCAGATGCACAAGTCTTCCTGGAGAACTTATGATCTACATATTTAGCAGTGATAAATTCTTTACGTGCAGTCCTGGGGGGTGTGAAAATAGAGCTTGGTTTAGAAATTTTTAGAAAAATGGGTCAATGATTTAAATTTAAAATCACCTTGCCTAACTCAGGAGCTGAGAAGGGAAGAGGAAAACTATCTGATAAAGACTGGTATTTATTATTATTATAATAATATGTGTCTGTTGCAAACAAGCCCAAAATAACGTATATACTCAATTTTATCTGGCCTTCTTGTTACATACAAAAATTATTCTGACTCTGGGGACTAAGACCAAAGAAAAAACAAAGCCTGAAATGTGATTTCTTGTGGAACCATACCTACATGTTAAAAATAGGATAAGCATGCGAAAACATGCTAAAAACAGGATAAAAGAAAACATACTGAGTCAGCTAGAAAATAACGTAACAGGTTAAAAGGTCTTCTGTGGCAAAACCACATCTTTTATACTTTATGTGCAACTCCTACACCAGGGAAAGGAAGAAAAAGCTTGTCACCATCTCAAGACAATACTTGAAGCTACCATCATTTAGCACAACTGTGTTTATCACCTGAGGGGATACTACAAAACATTCTAAATTCAAAATAATGAGTCTTGAAACACAAACTTAATGTTTTCTACACTGAGAAGCTGAGGTAGCTATACTGTGACTACATTACAACAGACTGAACTTCTAAGAAACTCCACAGTTGGAGTGAAAACCTCAATCCTCTGCCATCCTTGCCCTCCTCTGGCTTGGTTACTGTTTAAGACATTTTACATCATATATATATTCTGCAGTAAACTTAATGTTAAAGAATTTAGAGATTCAAAACTTACATATCACTTGATGGACTGGGTTTAGGTGAAGGACTAGGTAAATTCCCTTCCATAATATCATTAAAACTAGTATTTCCTACATTCTTGGCCAGCTGCAATAAGACAAAAAAATATATATGAGGGTGGCGGTTTTTCAGGTCTCACAGCAACCTAAAAACTGGACTATCAATGTGCATTTTCCACACTACTAATAAAAGATGGAATACACAGGTCTGCAAAATTAAAGCACAATGATTACAGTAAATATAAAGCAATTAAAAACATTTTCACGTGTGCATCCTATCATTCCAGAACTTGTGCAATAGGCTTCACAGTCACAGCTATTTGTATTTCAAGACAACCTGCCTTCAATATAAAAATAGAATGAGGAACTAGCAGCATGAACATTGAACCGGTGCTAGTACTCTGATCAGGAAGTTACTTTTGGAAAGAAGATCTGACCTACTGGAAAGTCATGCTTAGTAAAATTTCATTTAAATCAATAGTAACTTTGCGAACGAGACAAGAAGTATCAGTGCTAATGTTAAGCCTACATGCAAGCACAGAACTGCCTTTATCTTTTCTCAATTTTCCCCATACAAAATTTCTCTAACAAGTGTTTTCTCACAGGCCAAACAGCTGGGAAGATAAACCTGCTGTTTGAGGGGTTTTTGTATGGATTTTTTTCTTCGTTTTTTTTTTTCTTTTTTAGTACTCTCACATCAAATTCCTTTCATAACTTCAATGTTACAGGGTTTCTTCCATCAACTAAAAGATTCATCCAACATTTTTTGTCAAAATTAGCAACAGTCGTTCTCACTTGTCAAGTTAAATTAGCTTTCATTTTCTTTAATCACATGAGATTTTAGACTACTCTGATTTAGGGTCAAGATCAACTAATGAGAGGCGAAGTTCTGATGGCACTAATCACAACGGATGTCAATATTCATTCTGCAAAACCTCAGGAAATGAACATGAGAAGTGACAAGTGGTCAAAAGCATCAATAATACATAATAGTAAAAACCCTCCTGCAAGATACTTACAAAAATACAAAGACGACATTCTGCAAAACTCACACCTTGAAAAAAATTAACTGTTAATTAGACACCTGAATGTTTCCTATATACAGGTCAACATTTGACTTAAAAAATAATCCAAATTAAAGAAATTTACCAAGAGTTCAGACGTTCCTAATTTGTCTAATTCCAAAGACTGGATTCGAGAAATATGGACACCCATTTCTCTGTGTATTCCAGAACACTCAATGCAGGTTAAAATGCCCAAATTAGTTGATAGCCATGTTGGATCTGTAGAATTGAAAACCAAAATATTTAATCAAAGTCCAAGAAAAGGTTTTCAATAGTGGTAAGAAGTCCCAATGTATTCTGAAATGACTCCTCATTTAATGTTTTTAAAAATGGAAATAAACTAAAAATATTCCATACTTTTCTCCAAAGTGCAGTGCAGATTTAAACAGAAATTGCTACCCATGGAATTAAGTTTTTCAAATTTAGGGACAACCCCAAAGGCACTGAATTTAGACTTATAAATCCATACTGAATGACCATATTTGAATAGATTTAGGATTTGTTTCTTGTAGAAAGAACATAAAGCTTTTGTTTCCTGTTTTTAAAAGAAACAGGTCTCCTAAATTCCACCATTGGCAAACTCTTAAGTTTTAATTTTTACTTCTTAAATTTTAAATAGTCTTTCTTCATGAAACATTAACCATAGTACTTTCCAATATGTAAAATAGTAATATGTTGTAGAAAATTTAAGGAACATGGGCTAGTCCAGCAAAAAAATAAAAATTGCTGTCATGGAGGAGATCTGCATGTAACATTGGAATAGATCTTACACTATGAATGCTACATAAGAAGCAAGACCAGTTTTTAAGGAAAAGAAAAAGCTCCAGACATATTTTGTATACATACATGTCTTCAAACTAATCTCTTCCTTGATCTTAAACAGTAACTGATAAAGCATTAAGTCAAGAGTTTTAAAGCAGCAAGCTGGGGTACAGGAGTGAAGCTTAAAACTTCACCATAAATTAACAGATGAATGAGAACTGTAATCCAAAGTTTCTGTAGCTTTACACGATGAAATAATTGAATGAACCGATTCCAGGATTTGACATAATTATATTCCACTTTGCATTCTTATCTACACATTTCTTATTTGGATCAGTTCTGCATTAGTAAGCATCTTCAAGACACATACAATCTAGTCAGTTCCAAATGAATATCACCTTCTTGAAGTGTCTCTTTAGATGTGAAAGCTGTAATGGCTGCCAACTACCATATCAATTCAGTAGTTCTATGAGAAGATGACTCTTGTCAAGCTCTAATCAGCATACAACTGACCTGTAACTCTCTACTTCTGAAGATATAATCTGATAGGATTCCAACTCTGGGTCTCATTCTTTGCACAAGACTACTTATTCTGCCTCTGAATATTTTTGATACTGCAATTCCAGCAGTCTCATGCCAAGATAAAACCTCGGAGTAAGATCCTGGCCAGGTCAATTTTTCCACAATCATTGTCTAAGCATTACTCACTTCTACTTAGTAGCATGCACAGGATCAGTGATGCCAAGCAACTTCCATTCAAGTGCAACAAGCATCTAGAGACAGTGCAACAAGAACAGTTCAAACTCCAGAGGGGCTTGAACTGCTGGAAGTAAGCACAGACAACACACAAAAATATTTTAGTGAATTAAATGGAACTAACGTATGAAAGTCATATTTGTTCTTTTAGACACAGGTTGAAGACTGATCAACATATCACTTAGAAAATTAGTTTGCACTCTACAAACACTTCTTTAAAGAAATTACTTTGCTCCCAACAAGAAGTTGATGACATTAGCAAATTGAGATACCTGGTGAGCCACAATCACAACAGACTTCATTTCCGGGTAATCTCTGTATGTCATCAATAATGGCTTTTGTCAGATCCTCTAAACTGTTTTCCCCTGTGCTCTGCTCTCCACGGAATGCCATATTTAATGCTTCTTCTTTGCTGTTAGTCAATACTGATATCCATCTAGCACAAGATAAAGACCTTAATGAAGATCTGCATTTGCAAATACAAGTTAATCTATAAACTGTAGAAAGCTTGCCAGGAACAAAAATATTAGTGGGAACAGAGGGAAGGACTGTATAGTGGGAGAGACTGAGTGGGGGAAAAGTGAGAGACGGACAGGAAAGAACTGAGAAAAGGTAAGTAGGAATGAGAAAAGACAAAGAGAAAAAAATAATCTTAATTCTAATGTCCCTTTGGTGAACAATTTTAAAGTCAAAATAGTACAGTCCTCAGGTTCCTCAAATAAGTAGAAGCTGTGGAAGAGAAAGGGTGAATTAAACTCCTGTAAATTGAACTGTTTTAAAAGTAGGTGCCTAAGATCTTCCTAAAGTCTATCCCATTATTAGAGGAGAAAATTATAACCACTACTTGCTCCAGTGTGCATCTCTCTTCACAGAGGAGACAGCAAGCACATTTTTGAATGTGTTTATGTCTAGTTGCCTTTAAAAAGCAGGTCTCAGTGCACTAATCAGAGTCAGACTGTAATGTCCAAATTAATGAAAATTACCATGGCAACAAATGGGCTAAGGAAGAGAAGATGAGGAGAGTAACGATATTGATAGCCGACATAAAATTTTAAGAGCAACTGTTGACTGCAACAAATCAAGACTTTAATGGTATTTCTGGCTCTAGTTCCCCCCTCCCCCCCTGCCCCCACAGGTTTTTGTTTACACAATAATATTTTAATTAAAAACAAACAAAAAAAAAAAGCCTCTCAGTGGCTGCTGCCCTACAGGTGGAAGTAAAGAGGGGAAAGTGGTTATACTAAGGACAAGCACATTGCAGACGCAGTGTTGCCTAATTTAGAAAAAGAGCAAGTCAAAAAAAATCCTCCCAGGTACAATGAATTTAGATCTACTGCAAATACACATTTTTTTTTACACAGAAATATTTTAAATTGGCAGTGTCCTCAATCCATTTCCTTTTTAAAATATCACAATTATCTGCAATCATCAATCTTCTGAAATGTGCTAAAATGGCTATGGTCATCTAAACAAACTAAGAGAACTTCAGACTGAAATTCATAATTTCTCACTGAAATAATAATGCATAGATAAACTTTAAAGGTTTTCAGAGGTAAATTTATGTACATAATCTTGCAATACAGATTTGGAGCCTGAGCTGGTATATGGGCACTGTATATTATATACTTCATACACATCTGGTTGTTAAAATTTTTATGGGCAAAGGATAATCTAGGAACTTGTACTTAAAAGAAAATACTTAAAAAAAATTATTGAAAAATCAACTTGAAAAATAAAAGAGAAATTGGAAGATCTGAAAACAAATTTGCTCCATAGTTAACATGCTGAAAACAATATATGAATACCTCTCTCTAGTTATATGATACAATATAAGAACCCACACTAGATGGCATTCTTCTGCAATTTTTCTGCTGAAATCCAATGTTGCTAAAAAAATAAGAGGCAGCAGTGTCTTGCTTCTAATATCATAGTAATGTTGTGTTAAACACACAGAGTAAAATAATCATTAAACTCAGACAACATTTTTTCTGACATTTGTTGACAATTTCTATCAGGGTTACAGTTTGCTTAGTTTGTTAAAAAGGCAGAATTTGAATAAAAACTATGCAGTAAAAATTAAAAAAATTATCAGATGCAATTAAAGTAAACATGACGTGACTGAGCCAGCTGTTAGTTTGATATGAATTTCCATATGAAGAGTTTCTAAACTGTGAGAGCACTAAGTTATTTTGGTTGCGTTTGCTCAGCTAGAAGGAACCCTCTGTCCAAGGCTGCAGGTCATTGGTGTCATCTGTGAGACAGTCAGAGCAAGAGGCACCGCAGCGTCAGCTCTTCCCGACGTCGGCAGCAAGGCCCGTTTAACACAAGCACACCACCACCACGTTCTTAATGACTAACGCCGTTTATACACGAGGTCTCCGGTTGGTCACCAGGCCTTCGGTGCAGGCCGTACACTCAAAAATAAACAAGTCAAATCAGAAAGTATGGTATATTAACTCGGCATCAACAGTTTATAAAAGTGACTGCTGTTTATAATACATGACTGCTGTTCTTCCCCTTTTTTCTTATCTGCACTAGTCTGGTTTTTCTTCCTTTTTTTTTTTTTTTTAAATATATTTGCTTTATTTCTCCAGTGTCAAGCTAACAGTCAAAAAGCTTCTGGTAATACTTTGTAGTGTTCTTTCAAATAATTTAAAAATTACTCATGTCTCACAGAATTGCTTTGTCTTGTATTTAATACAGTAAGACAGGTTGCTCAATCTTCTACTACCGTTCTTTTTCTGGGTCTGAGCAGTTTCTCGGGGTCCTTTAAAGCATTTTGTTTGCTGGAGATTACCAGCTTTGAAAAAACTCATGAGGCTAAACAAAAATCTGGCATCATGGGCGACTTCTGGATCCAGTGAAGGCAACAGAAGTATTCATTAACCTCAGGTGGACCAGACTCAAATTCCTCTTATTTTACCTCAGTATTTTTAAGCCAATAAAAGCCCTCCCAGAATAACCAGGCTATTAGGTTTGGGTTTTTTTGCTTTGCAATAAAATTTTATCTGTTTCTTCTGACAATCCCTATTGCAACACTGTTGTTTCCAGGTAAATGCATAAACAGAACACTAGCATAGTAATTTGCAAACTTTCAGAAACAACCTTTTTGGACGGAATAAGCAACAGATAGTATCAAGACCTTCCAACTCAGTCTTCCCAAAGTAGAAAATGTCTGAAGACTGTTGCTAAACACTAGACTGAAGTCAGATGTGTGGTTCCTTCATAGCAAAATTTCTGACTATAGCTTTGTTCATAATCCAGGCTTTTCCTACAGAAATGGAGATACTCTTGACCTTCAAAAAGACAGTAGAAAAGAACTAAAAGATCATGTACAGAGTTTGCTTGGCTTTACCCAGAATTATCAAAAAGCAGAAAGAGTCTATTATTGTATATATTAAAAACATATATCTGGTTATTTTAGAGACCTGAAGTTACATTTTTTATAACATACACATAAATATAGGCACACTTCCCCCCTACACACACACTGTATTTCATCTGCTAGAGAAACTAATAATCCACTGAGAATTTTGAAGGACAGTCAAGCAGTAAAGGTCAACAGACAGCTGGCTGGGTAAGAATCAAGAAATGCACTGGACTACAGGAAATGTTTGAGGGGAAGCAGTAACAGACCTATAATAGAATGTAGGCTTCAGTGATTTGTATTTTAATCCGTCTGCTTTTTTATCATCATCATTATTATTTTTGAGTAGTTTGAGGAACTGTTTATGGAAGCAATTTAAAATGATCACTAGGACAATGTATGCAGGGTCAGTTAAACTAGAGTATAAAGAAATGCATCTTGCTTTTTTCTCTATTTAAGATGTGAGCCTGGAAAATCTATTTAAGCATTTATTCCTCAATTGGTGCACAAAGAAAAAGAGACTGAACAGAGGCAGCACTAAAACTGGGTGGATAAAACACCAACAAGATGGAGAAGAAAAGGACGAGAAGGACACACATATACAAGTCAAGTGGAAATTGGAACAAGAGGATGACAACTCTAATCAAGGAGCTAAATCACATAGCTCTTGCAGAACACTCTTAAATCAACAAGGTTGGAAGTCAAAAGGTGCTGTTCACATGACATCTTAGATAAAGCTTATTTAGGACCCATCTAGTGGCTGCACAAGAAAAACAGAACATTTGGTTATATTGTAGTTTTTCATCAACACATTAACAGTCATTCTGGTTCCTAAACTTCAATTAAAGATATTGCACAAATTTTCCTAAAGAGAAAAGAAAATAAGTTTCCACGTGCATCTCAAAGTACACACCATTTCAGAACACTTGTCTGAGTAGCATCACAATACCTTTTTGTTGGTGAACTACAGTGCCAATACAGGCAAAATACACTTCGGGGCTATCAGTTTGTCTGCATGTATTCCAACACTTGGATGCAACCAATAAGTCTTTAGTAAATGAAACTTTTTAAACTTGCAGGAACATAAACATATTCCCATACAAGTCATTTTCTCAGCCACTAGACTTAAAAGTGATAAATCAGAGTTTAGTGGTAAACAAATGGGAATTATAGTTCTAATGGGAAATAAAACCAGCCTGGAATTCCAAAACAATCCAATGGGCAGACAGCTAAACTAAATTTATTGACCTGCCAATCAGAAGAATTAGCTTACTAATGTATTCTCTCCTATCTTACTCATGCGTTAAGACAAAAAAAAAAAAAAAAAAACCCACAACCAAAAAACTTCACCTTTTAAACCAACAAATATAGTAAAAACTAAATTTATGGCAGAGAAACAGAAGCTTCTGACTCATCAAGTGCATTACTGATCAGAAATAACAGTATTTTCTTCATGACCAAGAAACTTACTGGAATACTTAAGTTCTAGAATGAATGCAGTAAGTAAGTAAGCACGACCAGCAAGTCAGCTTTGCACTCCAAGGGCCAGCACGAAGCTGTGGAAGACTCTGGAATGAAACAGCTGCATGACAAAGAACTCTCCAGCCTTCCCATTCCATTCGTGCCTCCCAATGTCGAGCTGTCAATGCCATTGCATCCCAACACTACCAAACAACTGAAATACCCTACAAACATTCCCTGTACCTTTAAAATACACATGGAGCAACACAGTCTTCCGTTGGAATATGGACATGCAACAAAAGAGCATGAAAGTCCCGATGAATGAGGCAGCCCGGAAGGCTCAGGCTTGCTGCACTCTTCACTAGTAACTTTATTCCTGGAATTGTCAGGCGATGAGCATTAGATTGTAATGTTCTGCACCACACGCTTGGGATGACACCAAGAACAACGTTCAAGAGGAAAAAAGTGGTGCATGGTTCTCAGGAGAAGTAGTAGTTCTGACGTAGCAGGAAGAAAGTTTGTTTTAAAGGAAATCATCTGGTTGGAAACGTGCATTAATGAAGCAAGTTACTGGATTCTAAAGTACACAAATCTCAAAGATTTGTTTTGCTGTTTATTTCTAGGCCTACAGTACAAAAGATGCATTACTTGTAAATATCTTCTATGCCTTATATAGAGATCTTTTATCTACTTATTATTTTTAATTTAAAGGAAAAGGTAGAATCAGGAGGAAAAAAGTAACTGCAAAACAGGGTTGACACAGAAGATTTAAGAAGAATTTAAAACTATTTCATTTGAGCCCTAATAACCTGATCTACTGTATCATGCCAAGCAACTGCGCACAAACCACGTGCTGGCATGGTACACAATCTAAATGGGGTTTTGGTTGGTTGGGATTTTTTTTGTTTTGTTTTTAATATTACAAGGTTTTCAGAGAGCCCTGTAGCGTGACACAAAATAGGTTATATTTAGAAGTTTAGAATAGCAGAAACAGACAGTAGGCACTACTGCATTAACTGAGAAAACTATTTCCACTATTATGTGTGATTATATACACCTCTATTGGCAAAATAAACTTGAAAAAATGTAAACATTCTTACGCTACGTATTCCTGTTCATCTTCTGCTTGAAAGTGGTATGTTCTATTATCTGAAATAAATAAATACATCTTTTCATTTGGCACATGATAAATTTTAAAATATCAACATAATTGTTACTAAAACTTAAGTGGCAACTAAAGCTTTTAAGAGCAATTGCTCTTAACCAGCAACATTTATATTTTATTCATAACTATGGAAAACAGTTATTAAAAAAAAAAAAACAAAAAAACCAGAGAAAGATGAAATGGTGAATTTTGATTTACACCAAGTGTCCGTATTTCAAAAGTCTTACGTTGAGAAATATTAAACAAAAATAAGCATATGAATCAAATTTTGCCATTCTGAAGTCAAATCTGAAACATAAGTAGCAGAAAAGGGCAAAATGAATTTGTTCCTGTTAGATACTTTTCCCCCTCTGTTTAAGAAACTTTTTACTAACCAAAGGATGAAATATGAAGTGGGCATTATCCCTCACACTCAAAGGTTTCATAGACTGTCCTTGTAAATACAGAATGTTGGAACTGGTTGTTGTTTAATACTATATATGTAAAGACTGAAAACAGTAAGTTGACTCATCGACTTCAAAAGCATTTTTATGCATTTTATCAGATTGGATAAAAATACCTGCTATACAAGACCAAAATGGGAAGAAGGGAAATCACAGAAGCTTTAATGCTGAGAAGACGAGTTGCTATCAATTTTACACAAACAGAAGCATATTTGAAAAAGATAAGAGAACAAGAGAAATTGGGTTCTCCTTGCCGTCCCCAACCCCCTAAACAGCACTCGAAAAGCAGAACAGACAATGAAGGAAAACAAAGATAAGGCCAAAGATGTTTTCCATTTCCTGCTGGATACAGCTTATGCATGTCCCACTAAGCTGTTAAACATCTCTTGAAGCTTAGCAGAGCAGCACATATGCTGCATTTCATGCCTCGTCACAAATGAATAGTATTTATGTCACACAGACAAAAGAGGTTCTATATTCATTTGTCCATTCAACCTCTCTTCAAAACTAGCAAGATCTGAACACTCATGAGGCACTGCACGTATCCGGATATAGATCTCAATTTTGAACGGTAGCCTCACTTTTACTCAAAGTATCTTGTAATGACATTTTTAGAAATCCCAAATAACGCGTGATGGTACTAAAGTTGCTACATACGTGATATTAGATCAAATGACTTCTTATCTTCAGCATTTGGTTTCACCTGGCAGGTCAATAAATTCAGTTTAGCTGGTTGCCTGTTGGACTAAAAAGAAAACTTGTTTTACTTCAAAAATGTCTTGATTTAGGATTATTTTTCCTTTCTGGGGAGTAAGCGTGCATACATGTATACCCTGAACATGCTTGAGACCAGCATGACTTTAGGTCTGTCAGAACAGATGGATTGCTAAATCTAAACAAAATTAAAATCTTCACGGCAATCCTTCCTGACTCATTGAATGGGATTAAAGGAATAAACCTTAATTTACAATATGATAATACTGAGGTTTTTTATTATATTTCATAAACAAAGGTAAAACTAATACACAATTTTTCATTACAACATGCTCATATTCCAATTTTCCTCCCATTTCAAATAAATCAAAAGATATAATCATGTCATGATCTGAACTTTTTATCATTGAAAACAAGAAAATTACTTTCCTCTTGGCACTGCAACAGAAAAGAGCAAATGGACTGTTTTTACACAGCTCCATATAAGAAAAGGAAAACTACAATCAATAGTGCAACTCAAAGAATTCTGAACTGGCAAGTCTTGAGCTTGACAATACATGATTTTTTTCTAAACAAAATGGTGTTAATTGAACCATTACTAACCTTGGTACTACTAAGTGACTAAATGACACCTCAAAGGAGGTGAGGTTATCTTCCTAGCCATTAAAAAAACAAACCAACAGTGTAGTACAAAGTGTAATGACTTCCCCTTAACTTGCTTAACACCGGTAGTTAACTTTAGACACTAATACTCATGGCCATCAGTGGCATTTGGGGCGACTAGTACAAAGTGTAATGACTTCCCTTTAACTTAACACCGGTAGTTAACTTTAGACACTGATACTCATGGCCATCAGTGGCATTTGGGGCGAAGGGGAAAGAAGGGTGATGAAATGGGATCATCTCCTTTAACAAGAGTAACAGGAGTTACTCTTGTTTGTGACAAGTTTGTGTCATGCTGCTGCAAGACAGTTTTAGGACTGCCTCCACTGTGATAATGTTGTTGGTTCCTCATGATTTAGCATTCTGAGGAAGATATTTGAGATATAGGCCCCATTCCCAGAATTCACTGCGATCAAAACTTTCCAAAATTTCACACTTTTAGTTGAAAGCACTCAAATTATTAGCACATTCACACATCTGTGTGACTGTCAATAACATCTAATATCAAACACTTCCCAAGTTTCCAAATTATGTGCTTCACAGATATCTCATGACAACGCTTATGAGCAAAACCAGTTGAAGTATTCATTGAAAAGTCTGTTCAATATACTTGCCATTTTCTTATCAAACTATTGATAAATACATTTAAGTATTCAATCAACTGTCATAAGCTATAAAAGTGATGGTGGTGGGGGGAATTGAAGAAAAATTTTAGAAGGCTAAAGAAGAGTTCACTTACTTCATACAGTCCACAAGAAGTTTTGAAATTAATCTCAAACCAGACTTTATTCTCATTATCTCACTCTGATTAGTTGAATGATTTTATTTTTTTTACAAAATTAATGTGTAGGCATTAAAATGTTTTAAATAGTTAACATCCTATGTAGGAATAAAACATCTGTAACACAGACATGTATGTATGAGCTAGTTGTTAGTCTTCCAGTACAGTCAACAGCCAGAACCGAGTTGGTAACAAGACATCTATCTTGACCAAATCTACCCAGACTCCTTTAACTACATCGACCAGCTCTCCAGTGGCTAAGACAGGAGTCTACAGGACCTTGCTCTGATGCAGACAGCTATACTGTAGATGCTCCATTTTATTCAGATGAATCACATCTCATATCTCAAAGGTATAGTAAAAACAGGTGTACTGCTCCATTTACCACTAGTTCCCACTAGTGGTCAGCAGCAGACAACTAGGAAAAATTTAAACAGAACAAGTATAGCAATACTGCCCTAAATCAGTCTCCGACTCCTGACAATCCAGAGAACTTCAGCAGTCTAAAGCAGAAGTGGCATCTTTTTTGTAATAGTGGATTAACACCAACAGATTCACCGGGAAAGGATAATGTTAATTTATCATTTTTAATAAAAAGGTATAAAAATAACTTACCGTTGCATGTGATATGGTGAGAATTCCATTTTTAACAGTGCACTTTCTTCTTTGCCATACTTTCCTTAACCTACATAAGATATCGACAACAAATAATTCAGTAACTAGACACTATTTCAGAACATGTTAATTCCATTAACATTTTGAGATTAGCCTTGAGAAACAAACAGATGCAGTCAAAATTTTACTAAATGCCCCACCAGAACTAAAACTTGGAGATTTATGATAGGTCTTAATCACATTTTAGAGACTTATAAAGACAACAGTTTTCTTTTTAACATGATTTTTTTATGATTGCTTGTCATGCTTTTTATATTTACTATATTAAATTCAGATCTGTGTTCAGATTTGAACTGTGAAATTCTTGAGTACTTGTGGCACGTGCATTAGAAGAATCTGCCTTAAGCACCCACAGTACAAAACAATAAAAATCAGTGTGTGAACATAGTAATTGTTCTCACTATATATTACGTGCTCCCAGAACATACCCATCACTCTTCTTTAAGAGATAACCTTTCTTCTCACTGCCATATTCCTTATTCCCCTGAAGCTGATGCATACTATATCCTCCTTGCCTGCTCTGTGAATCCTACAACAGGGGAAAACACCATTAACGTTTCTTGACATGCACAGTAAGTTTTCATAACCTTTAAGCCTGTTTTACTTTATTTCTTCTCTGCCACAACTTCACAAATAAAGACTAAAAAAAGAGAGAGAACTCCTAATGCATGTTTTACATCCATAGGAGAGCTTGCTTTTACATCACATCATCTTGAACTAACTGCATGTTCAAGATTCAATTACTTCGTTAGGCATTTGAGGTACACTATGGATGCAAATATGCATCTCAAAAAATGACTTCCTAAAATACAGAAATTTAATATTGTGTAATCTTATAATCAAAGAGTAAAAGGCTAAGATAAAATTTCAAAAAGAAAGCAACAGAATATAGCATGCATATATATATAGAAACACATATATAAACAAAAACAAATGCTAATAATCACTGTTTTTTTAAGCAATTAAAAATATCTATACAATTCATGAGTTTCAGTGAATGAAATCAACTGAAATAACTTTTGGCCTGATCTAGCAAAACAATTAAGTGAAATGGATTAACTTGTTATAAGCACATCAGAAAAAAAAAATATCCCCAAAAGTTCATTAAAACATTGACTTACTCTCCTAGACTTCGATCACGAAAGGCAAAAGCAATAGAGGAAAGAGAAAGCAAATAATTTAAAACAAGAATTATTATTGAATTTAAAAAAAAACATGTTCCTTGAACATAAATTTCATAGCCCCCATATCTAGTAAAACAATTTTTCCCCTTTTTAAAAACACTACTAGAAAGAAGGCAATAATTACTTTTTTAGGCACACTGCTGCTTTTTCTCATCGAGTAATAAAACATCATAACAAAATTCTGTGCAGCCTTGCATATATGACATTGGCTTCATAAAAGCAACTAAGATGACTACAGGATCAAATTTTACTAAATGTCTCCCAGTCCTTATTACATTTAAATTGTCTAAAATGATAGCTGTATTGTATCTTCCACCAAACAAGCTAATTCTGATTTTCCATTGAAAAAAGATCAGGCCCAAAGTTAACTTTTAATTTTTGTAAATCTATAGAAAAAGATATAATTAAGGATATGTTGATACAGTTTTAAATGTAGCTGTGAAACAATTATCTGCAAAACATCTGACCAAATCCCATCAAAAATACAAAAATCAAAGGATGGGAAGTTCAATTACTCCCTTGGCAATAACCTTTTCTCTTTCAGAACACAGTTTCTTACCATTACCACAACCAATATATACTGAAAATGACTACCTGCTATTTTATTCAGGGTCCTTACAACTGCAAAGCATTTTGTATCAAATTGGTCTTAGGGGTTGAGAGAGAAGTGTTTTGGTAAAACTGGCAGCTGTGGTTGGAAGCAGCATGAAGGCTGCTACGTGCAATGTGCTGCCAGCAGCGAGTCTTTACACCATCGCAGCAAGCAGCTGATTTGTGGTAACTAAATTTCGAACCCCTATTGGAATTAGGGTCCTATTGGTATTAGCATAGGAAAGAATATGAGATCTGTTTCCTGCTCCAAAGAGCGTATCAGATGGAGATTTAGGGAAATAAATCAAAATGTAAAGAAATAGTTAACAAAACAAACACAAAACATGATTCTGAAGACCGGCTATATTCAACATAAAGCTGTTAAGTTACATTTGTACCAACAATTAATATACAAAAATAGGGAATAGAAGACTGTATTAAAGGCCTGGTTTCCTTGAAAATTAAAGCTTCTTAACATATAAGCATTTTTCAACATATAAAATAAATACAATACACAGTTAAAAATACACTAGTATCCCTTAAAATATTTTCCCCAAAGCTTTAAAACATGATCATTTTACAAAATCAGTAATTCCTGAAAACAGGAGACAAACTGCCGTAACTTGATACCAAGACAGTGGCAAGACGAGACACGGCACGTAACAGAGAGGCAGTAAATTGTACTTCCCATAGCGGAGCTATGGCACTAGCACTTCTCCGCAAAGATTGTCAAGATGTGCTTTTCCAAGAACCAGGTAATTGCAAAGATTACAGTAACAGTTATTCCACTGATGAAAGGACAGGTATGCCAGCAATATAGGCAAGAGCATTACAGATGTCCACAATGCTAAATAAACACCATGAATGCATGCAACAGTAAAGCAGGAGTTGCATTACAAGACCTTGAAAGTGCAGGGAACGAGGTTAGCTCATTTTGTAAATTAGTGTTTTTTCCTGAATGAAAGTATGGGTGCTGAAGAGTAATTTTTCCAAGCATACTGTTTGAAAATAAAAAAGATCCTAAATGATTTAATAGCTGTAACAGTCACGCAGAAATCTCTCTTGTCATGTGTGACAGCAAGCCAGTCTGAGATGGGCAGGACATCTCACTTATCTAGTGGCAGCTCCAAAGAGCTTAAAGGTGACAAAATTTAAAATTTGGACAGGAATCACTAGTTTCAACTTCCTTCTCTTGCATAAAGGGTCAAAGAAACTTAAAACTACACACAACCAGGGTCTCAATTTTATTATTTCAAACTGTTTCCCTCCCAAAGTAACTTTTGGTAAGAGTACTTCTCAATTTTTAAAAATTCACCAGAAAAAAATCCCATTCATTTCATGTTCAATATTTCCATTAATCCATACATTTTCCAACAGTGAGATTATAATACACTAATATAAGGGGGAAAATGTATTCTTAATCACAACCAACCAGGCCATCTGTCACAGCAATAAAGCCCAGCTTTGCTACTTGAAGATTCAGATGCACACAACGATGGAGAGCTGACTGGTGAGGCCACGTGTCTTCAAGTTTCGTTGTCACTTAATCAATGAGTAATGACTGCTGGCACGCTATTTCAGGATTAAAACACTGAATATCTACATAACAGAGACATTGTTTTATCAAGCTCCTCAATATCTGCCAGCATCATTAGGCTCTGACTCATGTGATGCAGCAGAATCACGAGTGAAAGTCCTCACGTTGATTTTGAAAGAGACACTTGAACACCAGTGTGATCAAATGGTTATTTTATCCAAAACAGTGGATTCTTTCAATACAGCAGATCTGTCTCCCATGATTTGCCTGAATATCTGAGCCATATCACAATATTGCTTCTTCTTAAGACACAGGTTCAATTCTCTTCAAGCCAAACACTTTATTGTTATATTATAGAAATTTTAATATAGATATACATACACACAGTTTTTTAAAGAGTCCTAGGATTTGTTTACACTATAAAGTCAGAAAAGTTGCATAGTTTATCTGGCTGATGCCTGTGAAGCTACTTAATCACAACATATATCTAAGTTTCAGAATTTGATTTAATTTTTAGATTTTAAATGAGGTTACTGTCCACTGAAACAGAATAATTTTTACTACACATCCAGGAAACAGATATCAGAAAACAAAACGCTATATTTCATTTAGTTTTTCTACCTCATTAAACTCTGTGAGCAACTTTTGAAACTCGACTTGTACCGTAACCTGCCATAGATATACACAACACACAGCACCGAAGAAGCATAACCCGTTTGTCCTACTTTATTTCCAAGATCTGGCTGATTACCAAGTAGCTTGAACTTAACAACAAACGCAGCAGCCAGGAGAGAAGGTGGTATTTTTCTTTGTTTTCCAGATAATCAGCTTGTGGAAGAAAGGTAACTGAGGGGAGAGCAGGTCTTGTTCCTCTGTGTGTTGGGAATCAATCCATAAACCACTTTGGAATTTAAAGTTATTTCCAAACAGCTCTTGAAATCTAATGTTCTCTGGTCAACTTTTGGGGGTGATGATGGAGAACGAGCACGAGTTACCTTCAGAGCAAGTATCACGGAAGAGATCTAGTAGGTCCATGTGCACATTGGAGATGGAAGGAAAAAAAAACCAACAAAAAACCCAACAAAAAAACCCCACAGCACTGGCTGAGTGTAGGGTATGAGATATGGGAAAAGTGAGCACTAAAGAGAGTTGGCAGGTCTTACAATAAACTGGGTTCTACTCAGTGCTCCTGTCATCATTTGTGACATCAAAGAAATTCTAAAAGCCACATACGACATGTTGTAAGGTTGTGTTGTCCTTCTAAATGATGGGATTAAAGATGCAGGGAGAGGAATAGCCTTCTGGCCAAAGTTTATCTGCTGTATAATGTACATCTACATCACGAAAGCACACATAGGCAAGTATTCAAAAGAAAAAAACAAACCACCACCATAATGTAAGGAACGATTCATCAATCATTCCTTATTAATTTTGATTCTACCTGAAATAATTTACTAACTTCTAGCCATTTATCTGCATCCAGCAGCCATAATTACAATGTGCTACCTACAAAATTACAGGAAAGCCCATAAAAATACTTACTTGCCCCAGTTACTAAAGTCTTATTTTTGAAGAAGTTCCAGAGGAATTCCAGGAAAGAAAAGATAAGTAAGCTTCACACCATGTAAAGAAGATCAATGAAAACTACTTTTAAGAGTACACTTAGTATTATACATGTTGAAAAATCAGTGCAGCTTTTGTACAGACAGGTTATGTCGCAAAAATCTCCTCCAGTTCTCTGAAGGAATCAGTAGTAGATACACATGAGAAATCAGACTGATACAGCCTACCTCGACTTTCAATGGGCACTTAGTGTTCCTTATGAAAGGGAAAGAATTATATTGCTACAGGACAAGAGGAAAAGTCCTCAGATGAGCTAACAAGATAAGATCTGGAAAAGGGTAAACAGTAAATGTCAAAGTTTGCTAGACAGCATGAAATTATTCAGGATACCCAAGAAAGGCTGACAAGAATCTCTCAAGGACCTCACAATAGGAAGTAACTTGACAATAAATGACAGGTGAAAATCAGCATAAACAAATGTAAAGTGATGCAGAGGGGAAAAATAAGATTCTGTGGGTTGACTATTAACATTCAGAAACAAGATGATATGGTTATAGTTTTACAGCTGATTAAACTTTACATACTTCCTTCTCTGCACTAAGCACTGGTCAAAAAGCATGTCAATGTTAGGACTTATATGGAAAAAACAAAGATCAGAAAAGATCTAATGATGCCATCATAAATTCACAAGCACTCCCACCTTAAGTAGGGTATGCAGTTCAAGACAAATAAAAGGAAGAAGATTTTTCCACACAAAAATCTAGCAATGGTGGGAAAGACTCAGCTGTAACAGAAGCTGGTAGTTTACACTGCTTCAAAAAGCAACTGCACAAATTCAGAGAGAGGAGATCCATAGGGTAGTGGAAAGACTGCAAAGATAGTCAAACTACTAATGGGAAGGTATTCTGGGGAAGTCTCAGCATTCATTGCATTTTACTTTAATCATCCATGATTGATTGCTGTTGGAAACAGCTGACTCAGGACATCTGGTTGTAAATTATATTCTTGTGTATACTGGATATTAGCAATACTGCCCAATCGTATATGTGGGTGAACATACATATGCAGCAGAATAAACACTAGACAGATGCCAATTATAATAATTCATATTTTATTATTAAATATTTAATAAGCTGAGTGGACACCTAGCAAATACTAATGTCTTATTTATCTAGGAGAAAACCGAACAAAGGGTAAGTGATCCTTTCCTAGAAGAAACCCACCCCCTTCCCTCCATGCCCTACGCACTCAGCTTCACCGTGGGATATTCAGTATTTCTGACTCTCGGGCACTACGATTTGGAAAAAGTCACAGTATTATCCCAGGAAAAGCTGTGATATATATATTATATCTTATCTCCTAGTTCAAGGACTATTCCAGAACATCTGCAATGGACATCGCACATTCCCCCTTCACTTCTGATCCCAGTACAATTGGTGGTGTATTTTAGTTTTCAACCGGCCCGTCTCGGCCACTGCTATCTGGTTAACATACAAATCTTCTACCTTACGATACAGTATTAGCAAAAGGGGTTTGGGAAGCAGAACAACATCACAAAATCCATGTCAGTTAGCAGACGACTAGTAATATGGAAAGGCAAGACTCCTGTTCTCGTTCTGGCTTTCTCAGGATCACCTAGGTCAGGAAAATCCCAAACACAATCTGGCTGGAGGATGGCAGGAGATAAGAAAGAAGTGTACATCCCATGCCTTTATATTTTTTCCTGAAGATGCATTCTTTATCATTGTCAAGGACAGGATAATGGCCTAGATGAAGCATTTATCTGATCCATTTACATAAAAAAATATAAAATTACACAAAAGAAGGAATAATTTATTTTCATATATAAAATGGAAACAAAAAATTAATCTGAAACTACTGTTTGCTGGTATGTAGTTGAACATTCTAAATACTAGTTTTGTCATAATGTTCAAAGTCCAACTCTTCTGAACCAATAACTATACAAATTGAAAAAGCAATTAAACAAATTTCTGAATAAAGAATTCATAAATTCACATTATCTCTGAGAATTACGTGTCTAAATTATTTACCTCCTTTTGATCAAGCTGTAGAGAAGATTTTATCAAATCACGAAGAGCAGTAAGTTGTTTCTTTTCTTCATCTTGTGTCTGCTTTATCTATGGAAAGAGATTGCCATTATATGCCTTCTGGATGCAAATTTAATTTTAATTTATTTATGCATGCCAATATATCATTTTAGATGTCCTGAACAACCAGCTCAACTATTCTGTGTTTCTGTAATATTTGAGCTGATTTTCACGGACTAGTCCATTCTTACGTATTCAGCTTCTATGCATGTATTACTTGAAAAGCAAGCTAAAACGAATGTACAGCTCTGCGTATTCTGTTCTGTTACACTTTAATGGTTCACTGTATCTCATCCAATTAAATTAGTCTCTGAAATATTAATAACTCAAATAACCTTGACAGATGACTTAAGGAATGAAAATACATTTTATTTTAGCCACAAACTACAATAGCAAATGGGATTATTGTAATTGTTATTATAGAATACAAAAGCACTTGGGTGATGAGTGAGCTTTCATTCCACACTATTACTTGCCTTCAGTGAACATCACAAGTTAACACATTTAAAAACTGTGGTGCTATCATCAACCAGTTTGGTTTTGAAAAACGAAAGTGGTAGCTAAAATTGGTGCTAATAATGTCATCTGATTCAAAGATTCCCACTTTAAATTAGTTTTATTTCAAGGCAACATTAAATTAGTAGTAGAATGAAAGCTACTTTTCTTAACAACTTTAAAAAGAGAATACAAAGTTTAAGATAGCTGTTTTTTCCTCAGTCTAGCTATATTCAAAGTTTCAAAGAACACACTTTTCATTTACGAGATACAAATTATACACTTGTAGTCATACCTAAAATGTGTTTATATAAAAAAAAGTTTCCATTTTTTTAATATTAAACTACTTATAAGTAAACTTACATTATATAGGTCAGCAGCCAACTTTTCGATGTATTGTTTAAGTTTATCAGCTGTTTTCAAGCCATCTTGGAAGAAACTATAATGAAAAATACTTGTGATTTATCAGGATTACATATAATTCATAACACAAAGTAGACTGTCTTGTGGAGAAAAACAGCAAAACAATAAAACCAATAAAACATATTCAGCTCCTCCCATCTTCAGAAACAACAACCACCACCACAAAACCACAACACAAATAAAACCACCCTCCTAGCAGTTTTAAAGTACAGTATCTTTCAGCAGTGGAGATACACTGTTGTGACTTTAACAAATACCAGATTAGAGAGATTATAGCTTAGTTTATTTTTTTTTTTATCACTGTTATCCAATGTGTTTCCCCTTAGTAATTTCTAAAATCTTTTTCCTGTATTTCATTTAGGTTCCTGTATGTTTGCCTCTCTCATTCTACTGATGAAAAGGTCATATCTTACCAGTCTCACCTCAAGGAATTTCAAAGAAATTCCTGGCTTTCACAATGGTTTTAAAATTTACATAAAACACCTAAAACCTATTAAACAGAATAAACAAGCTATTTATAAAAATTACATTCTGGATCTACGCTTCAGGATCTAAAACTCATTTTGTACACAACATGCAGGGTTTTCCCTCGGCCTCTTTCTCCATCATTCCTTTGCCCCACTCAGTTACTTTCATACTCTACATGAAAGACTACAGCCCAGTAAGATGAAGTTGCAGACACCTGGCAGGTTACAATTATGCTAAAAATTCCTGATGCAACCAAAACAAATTGAAAACAAAGGGAAACACACTTGTGTAAAAAAGAAAATTGTAACCAAAGCTTAAAAGCATTGCACTTACTTGCATTGTGCATGATAATACTTAATAAGGTTCTGCAGAAGGTCCACACCTTTTTTTGTCTTGATTTCATTAACCTTAATAAGATACTGTACAGACAGTGAAAAAACATGTTGACAATCATGCCTCACAACCTCAACAGTTTTCAATCAATAAAACATAATTTGCTCAATGAATTAAGTATCTCTGTTTAACCTGGGTGCTGACTCATAAGCCACCAGGTCTACCACAGATAAGCAAAATATAAACCAGGTAACTTTATTTGGCCATTCCTAAAAAATTCAAACACCTCAAAATAGAAAACAAATTAAGGAAAAAGTTTCATCTTTTACAATTGTCTGAAGATGTCCTTTTTTTCATGCTGCTGCAGTAATCACTGAAATATTCTAAAAACAGAAATACTATGCAATTTAAAGTAATCACCACTAAAATGTAGTGAAGAGAACTATTAATATAAAAAGCAGTTTTATGAACTAACGTTATCACTATCATTTATCACTTTATTAGAAATTTTAGGCTTCAGAAAGCATGTTGGAAGAAATATATCAAAAATACTTCCTGAGCAGATCAACCATGAACCTGAAGAAATAAGAAATCTTTCCATTGTATATTTTCAACCCAAGAACCATAGCATAACAATCTAAAAACAAAGAAAAGGAATAAAACAAAAGGAAGCCAAGTTTTGCAGAGTTGCTAAAATAATTAATTACCTTTATATTGCTGTACTATGTGACATTGAAATAGTTTCCTCCCTCCACCCCCATTAAAGGACAAAATGGATTTAACCACCTTTAAGCAAGGCCCACAAGGTTCTTTTAAGTTACGGTGTCATAATTATAAGTTGAAACTTGTTTCTTACTTCACACATCTGTAGCTGAAATAGCCGCCTTTCCTTCTCCATCTCCTCTGCTATCTCAGCTCCTGTTATTTCAGTTCTTATCATCCCATGCTGTTTTGCATGTTCTCTTTTTTCCTTTTCAATTTTTGTACTGAAATTTTAATTAGAAAACATTTTTGAGATTTTCTTCTACTATCATGTGATCCAGTATTATTTAGGAAAAAATTAATAATAATAAAATATTAAAGAAGCCATTCGGAAGATGAGTTCTTCTACAATACCAAATCCTATATATTTTTTTAAGTGTCCAGAAGTAATGGAGTCGTGAAGCTGCCCTTCCTCCCTTTCTTCCTTTAACTCTTTTCCCTAGTTTGTGTGCTACTTGGGGAAAAAACCCACCTCATTCTTTTTATATGATGGGCTACATAGCCTTCATCTCTATAAACTGCAGCATAAAGCATACATATTAAGGTGAAGGAGGGTAGATATACATTAGCTGTTAGAAAGAAATTCTTCCCTGTGAGGGTGGTGAGGCACTGGAACAGGTTGCCCAGAGAAGCTGTGGATGCCCCCTCCCTGGAAGTGTTCAAGGCCAGGTTGGATGGGGCTTTGGGCAACCTGGTCTAGTGGAGGGTGTCCCTGCCCATGGCAGGGGGGTTGGAACTAGATGAGCTTTGAGGTCCCTTTCAACCCAAACCATTCTGTGATTCTATATAAGAAACTATTGACTTGGCAGGAACATGGCAGAAATAACTTAATCAAATATGTTCCATGATCATAAAGGCAGGAATTAAGAAAAACAATACGGCAGCATATGGAGTTTACCACCTACACTAAATGACATAACTTCCAGTCATTACATTTTCAGAGAAAGTCAACACTGAAATAGTGAAATGCAAATACGGAACTAAAAAGCCATCCTGAGACTTTAACTAGAGCTTTACAGTGTGGCTGTCCTTACATATTTACTCTGCAGACTAATTGGAGACTCCATTTGCAAGCAAACTTAGATTTCCAATACAGAGTAGAAAGATCTAAACGATTTTCTGCTTTCTTTTTCAAAAAGCTTTCTTCTCTAGCAGTCTTTTTGAGAAAAATAAACACTGAAGCTGTACTTCTGTAAATCAGGTGACAAAGCACTGTGTGTTTATTAGCCTGCTGTTCCTTGCCGGGGGAGAGGGGGCATCTTAAAAAGAATTGATTTGGTTGGTTTTGAACTCTGCTTTTCTCCAACTAAGGCAGGCATAATATTTGCATGTAGAACAAAGCATTTCTCAGCACTGTGCTTCTAACCTTGACTTGATATTTGGTCTTGAACAAATTCTGGGAAGTGGGGTTCTCTGAGAAATCTAACACACAGGTGATTCCATGTATTGAGTCTGTATGAGATATCTCTGTCTCCTAAGTTCTGTTTAATGACATTTGGCATTTAATTTAATGGCATTTAACAGGCTGGCAACAATATGCCTGATTTTACATAGAGCAATTTGAGAGGCAGAAAGAATATATTTTTTTTTTTTAAACTGATTTGCTGTCTATAGAAGAGTATCCAATATTTTTGCAAAATATGCAATATCTGTAAGAATAAAAAGGGAAAAAAAAAATCTGCACGTAAATCTGAATGCTCATTTGAGTACGATGTTGTGAGTTTGGGACAGGAATCTCCTTTTTGCCTTAGATTAATAACCACCTCATTTCCAGTTCAGTTGTTCACAAGGTTTTAACATTGTACTGAATTTTGAAGGCAAAAATTACTACAGGTAGGTCAGAAAATTATGCAGATAATAAATGTTTCAGCAGTTGTCAGTGGCCTTTTTCTTTCATTGCTTTTTTCCCTGTCTTGGTTAGACATAAATGAAACAAAGCTAATAATAGGATTAAAAGGGGAATAAATGAAAGGATATATATATAAAAAAATTAACTCCTGAGAGGTCTTGAATGCTGATAAAGCAACTGCCCATCGCTTCCTTCAGAGCATTCTGAACTATTCCACTAACATTTCTGCAACTATGACACTACTTGCTTTCACAACCTTCTACTTTTATAAATCATTCTTTATACACAGAAGACTGGCATTTTAGCAAGAAAATACTTTAAAATCCATAGATTTTTTAGAAGTCACACCAACTGCACTACCATTCTTGCCTCTCAAACACATACAGTTCTGCAACACAGGACAATATATAAATCTCATAATTTGTACTATCGATAGATTTTATGGTTATGGTTACAAAAATGTGTAAATGCCATCTGAAATCTCCACATTTCACTTTACAATGTTCTGTAACTAAGCATTAAGTACTTTTCTTACACTAAAGAAACACTGGGCAGTCATGTAGCTACTTTACAGAGAACATAAAAATATTTGATTTCTATTAGTGCAGAAGAGATGTCCACAGAAGAGACACCTTGCTGTCTCATTCATATTTACATCCAGAGATATAGTACATGGTTTGGGACCAGGAGGGGAAAGGAAAAAGAAAAAAAAAAAAAAGGGAAAAGGTGGGGGTGGTAAAAAATACTTACAATTTGGTTTCATAATCTTTCCAGGCTTTGTCAAAAGGTTTTTTGAGGTCCTTAGGAAACAGAAAATTTGCTTAGAACATTTTTAAAACTTTGTCTTTATAATCAAGATAGCAAATCATAAATAGCAACAAAAATATTGTTTTCTTTTAAAATTTCTCAGACAGCTGTTGGAAAAAATACTATTTTTGTATCTTGTAAAGTATTGCTTTCCTGTGCACCTTAAGACAGGAATCTACAATGAAATTCTGAAGAAGCATCACAGTCACACCATTTTTTAATTTGTTCTTTGGACTACAAACAGAATATTCATGGATGCCAGCATAAGAAATAATCTCATGGGTGAATGCAATACAGTCATAAGACAGCTGAACCTGAAAACATTTCCCTAAATAAAAAATTCGTTTTCAACACTTACCCCTTTAACACCTTTTAAGTCTCCTTTTAAGAGAGAATCCAAAGTGAAAATAACATTGTGGCTTAAACCCTGGAGCTAAAAAGACAAACATTAAACTGTTATAATTCAAAAAGATTTACTATGATCTTACCAAACTACTGCCACCAAGTCTTTGAACTTCACTAGTGAAACTGCCATCACCTCCAAATTTCTAAATTAATAGTAAATTCAAGTCTGGGAAGAACTAATAAACATTCACTTATATCAGACACAAGAAGCATTATAATTAATCTTTACTTATATAGGGCAATACAAAACCAGAATTTTAAAAATATCATACAAGTGCAGTTCTGAAAGCACCTCAAGGTAATCTTCAGTCAAAGCAAACATTTGAATATTGCTTAATTATGTAGGAAGCAAATTAGGTTTTGGAACAAATGTTTCTTATAGCCTCCTGTATAAGAAGCAAGGACCTGCTGTGCTACAATGGCACATGTTAATTCAACCACGAACAGAGCACCAAAGAGTCCCCAGCTCTTTCATTATTCCCAACTATTTGGGAAGACCATTCCTTTCCTTGTCCAGTGTGGAAATCTGGCATCTGCTTAAACTCTCAAGAGTTTAAATTTCACCCCTTTAAGTCCATGACTGGTTGATTACATGTCTGTGGAAATGCTCGGTTTGTCTTTGCCAGTCTGAGGGTAGAAAGACCTACTGCTGTGATCCTATCTGAACACATACGGCGTGTACAATTCCTGAGGAGTCACGATCAGGGGAAAGAGATGTGTATCAATATTATCCCAGTCTAGTGAAATGTCTGTTGCCACAACTACTTCATCCCTCCCTCCGTTTCTGCCCCAAAATACTCCACGAATTCTTCGGCTCCTATGCTAAGGAAGAATAGGGAGAACAATGGGAAGGCTGCAAGACACCACATCCTCTGCTTGTAAACAAAAAGAATAGGGAAGTGCTACGTTATTGGTTTTAATCTGCCATATATATATAGGACAAGGGAGCTGGGTCATAAGGTCTTCTAAGCATATTTTTGTCCATGAAATTAATTTAAGAAATTTTTGTGAAACAGACAATCCATACAGATGAGAAGATCAAAATGATCACTCCAGCTGGTTCTCCAGGGATAACGTTCCATTCACAAACTCCTTATATATTCAAAAGACATGTATGAAAAATCAAATATTCTGGTTTTTAAAAGTGACATTATGCAATGTTAAACATACAAACGTAAAAAAAGAAATCTCACCCTTTTGTCACGGTTTATTTCTTTCACAGGAGTAAAATAAAGCAATGAAACAGGGCATGACCCATGTGTATTCACTGCTGTTTTAAAAGCCAGGGCCTCTTACCAATTTATAATCAACTTCTCATACCATGTCATTATTTACAAGAACTATATCCACTATATATAAAAATAATGCATTTTCCTTCATTAGATTCACTATCAGTCCTTAACTGAAAAGAAAAAAAAACAAAAACAAACTGGCTTCATTCTCCAAATATCCTGGGCAGAAGGATTTCTCTAAGGTCCCCTAGAGATTACTGCCAAAGCGGGCTGCCAGAGCTGGAACGCAGCTCAGACACCCATGGCCCTAAGATACAAAGCAGTCCTAAAAGCACAGATCTCAAACTCCGTGTACATTATCCTCTGGAAAGCACTGGGCCCTCTGCATGGCAGAGGGGAAGGTGGATCTTTTGAACACAGGTTATTATACAGCTACTGAATTATCATCTGATGGCTTGTCAGCCACCCCTCAAGTATTGTTCTTTTTAGACAGCTTGCAGATATCATAACAGATAATTATTCTTAGCATGAGATGGATTCAAATTCAGAAAACATATGACACACACTTGTATCTTCATATTCAAGATAAAGACAACTGTTTCATGTGTCAATATTTTATCTTTTTTAAAGTCACAAAATCTTACATGCAGAATGTATTCAGAGCAAGATGAACGACAGCCACTAGAACACCTTGAGCTGCAGCCTCAAACAATAACATGAACAGAGAGCAAAGGTTCTTCATGGCTTAAAAGATCAAGATCTGAGAAGGGATTTTCTCCTTAATCGCAACAACACAGTTAGCGCTCAAATATTAATTTTGTATGAAAAAAAATGCAACCTCATCGCTTTCGGTGATTAAAAAAACCCCAAAAGATTTTTTCTTTACTTGGCTTCGCTAAAGGAGTTTATAGCAGACAGTCTAAGCTTTGATTCTATTTAAAGAGCTAGGTTCGGGGGGGTGGCGGTTCTTAAACATTTGCACATGTCCCTCTTCCAATATTATTTCATAGCAGAACGAAGAGGAGCCAGGGAATTTGTAGAGGATTATGCCCTTTCGCAATTTGTCCTCTGTTGGCTTTTTAGCTCGATACATCACAACTAACAACTTCCCGGCAATGTCAATTTTCTTGGAGAAGAAAAAGAACTATGAACGTTAAGCCAACAAGTGATTAAGGTAATACTTATTTTATCAATACACAGATTAAATAAAAGCTGTAATTGTTTTCATTCTCAACCATTGCAATCAGTTTCCACTTAACAACCTTAACTGAAGTTCGTATCTCAAATGTGAATTTTGATGAGAAAAAAAATAGTGAAAATATTTTAGAGAGAACACATGCAATATAGGTGGATATGGCAGACTTAAAGTAGTTTTCAGGGCAGGCATGAACAACAGTACATTACTATAGCTTCCCCCCATTTTTTCAAGTGTATCCATTAAGGATAACCAATTCAAGCCGTTCATACTTGGACTTGAATACAGTAGCCAGCTAGGAAAAAACCACACCACCCTAAATAGCAGTGTATTACTCCAATATGGTAAGAATTTGGAATTATTTATTACATTGCTGAAGATTTGATAAAACAGTAGCCCAAATGAATTAGAAATATATCTGATAAAGTACAACTGTCTCATATCTAGAGCAAAATCAAGGAAAAAAACCTTAACAGATGGAAAAACATACTATAATTTGGGGAGGAGGGATGTGAAGAGAAGATAATTTGTCCACAAAGATTAGCTGAGGACATTTACAGGACGGGGGTGGGGGGGGGGAACAGACTTTAAACATTTGGAAAAAGCCAAGCACCATACAAAATTCTACAAAGAAAAAAGTAAAATCCAAAACCCAAGTTATCTGCAAGTGCTCCAAATGTTCTACCAAAACCTCATCTAGATCAATTTAAAGATATTGACACACTGAGTTTCACATACGCAGATCTTCATACGGCTTTTTAATGCATTGTTATAATGAATTACTGCATAAAGAATAAAATCTGGAACAGGAACGGAGGTAGAAGTAGTGAAAAGCAGAGAAACCAATTCTGGTGGGACACTTAGATATTGCTGAAAACATAGACGAGTGTGGACAATGGCCAATCACAATGTAATTACCTTTACAAAATGTTACAGAAGTGGTCATTCTGTGTCATTCTTATAATCTTAAAAAAACCAAAACCAAACTCAGAAATATAACATGATATTTGTATGTTTTCAGTTTCAGATGTTATATTTAGGGATAACGTCAACAGTTTATAATAAAGTTTACATAGCAACACAGTTGTTTTTGTTAAAGTGATTAACGGATATGCTTTTATGATTGACTTTGCGTGAAGAACAATCATTTCAAAACGATGGTTTCCAAGAGTTGTATATGTAATACAAGTTGCTGGCTTTACTTCATAGCAACTAAGTGAAGATCACCCTCAAAGTGATCACTCTATAATTCCTCAACACAGAAAAAAAATAAATTATTCTGCACCGCCCTTCTCATAATATCACAAGTCATAGGAAAATATTTAATAAATTATAATTAAAGTTCAAAAGATTTAATAAAAATGGATCCAAATTTTTGAAGGTTTTGTTGCCTACTGCATAGCTCTATTATTCATCCTCTTGTCTTTAAAGAACATACCTTCTTTTATTTTTCGTGTATTAAATAAGGCAGCAACAATGTGCTGTACGTGAAAAAAAGTCTATTTGCTTGCCATTCATCTTAATATCTTCTGCCATTTTTTCAATTAATTTTATTAACAAGCCACAGCCTGTACTGTGGGGCTTCATCAGTGACATTATACAGCCCTCCTCTCAACTGCTTTTTCATTGGACCTCAATTGCTATCTTGATATTACAAAAATCTTTTTCTTTCAGTGTAATTGTATTAATGAGAATGATGCTTAAGAACAGTGGGTCAACAAAGCAGAATTATCTATCTTGTAGAGAAGGTGACAAATAAGTTTTTAAAATGTTGAGAGATTTGTAAAATAAGCTCATTGTCTATTTGAGACTGCTGAATGAAGTAAATCAGGGAATAGCCTAGTTTAAATCCTGTCAACACGAATGTAGATAGACAATGCTTCACAATGTAGCTGAAATAGTATAATGGTGTTTTGAATGAGTGTGGCTTCTTAAGTTAAAAGAGCTCTTTCCTCTCGATAAACAAACAAATAAATAATCCCCCACTACTTCTTTGCCAGTTGAAAGAAGTTAAAAATTTCTGTGGAAGACCTGCAAGGAATGATGAGGTCCAGAGAGCTTTCAACAAACTTGAGTTCTAGTACCAAACTGTCTTCAAACAGCACTTTAACACACATTTTAAATTACTTATTTTTAATTGTGTGCTAAATTAAGATTAAAAGAGGCTAAAAATAACCCACAATGACAGAAGTCTTTAAAGAGGAAAGTAGGTCCCTCACATACCTACTAGACTTTAAAACTGCCAACAAATAAACAAAGGATGATCCATCCAGATAATAGGCCAGAGCAAAGCTCTCAAAGAAAGCGAGCTTTATTAGGATAAGTGTGATCATCCTCAGATGAGTAAGTAAGTGATGAAGAGGTGGTGAGGCTCAGAAATAAGCACAAGCATGAGAGGTCAGAAGTGACACCTCATTTAGAGCATTGTTTGGGCCTGTGCAGTCTGAGATGTTTATAAGTGAATCTCAGATGAGAATGTCTGCTGATACTAAGCTATTCTGGGTAGTAAAGCAAAAGCCAGGTATGAAGAGTTGAGTAAGAACCTTGTACTACTTACTGCTGAAAGAATAAAATTAAAGATTGAAGTCAATGCTGAAAAATGCAGTGTGATGCATACAGAATCATGCTTATGAAATAACAACAATCAAGAAAAACATCTCAAGGAAAAAATACCTTGAGGGTACAACATAGAATCCCTTGCAAACATCAAGCTCAATGCTCAGTCAAAGAAATCAGCCTTCAGAAAAGGGAAAAAGAAATGAAACCATCGTCACATTTGTCCCCCCTCATTTCAGAAAAGAGCACTAAAAGAAGATACAGAAAGCACCAACAAGGACAATCCAAGTTATGGAATAACTAGGACTCGGCTAGAAAAGTAACAGAGGTAGGGAAGAATGATAGCTATTTGTAAATTCCTGGGGAAAACAGAGAACAATAAATGAAAGAATCATAGAATCACAGAATGGTTTGGGTTGGAAGGGACCTCAAAGATCATCTAGTTCCAACCCCCCTGCTGTGGGCAAGGACACCCTCCACTAGACCAGGTTGCCCAAAGCCCCATCTAACCTGGCCTTGAACACTTCCAGGGAGGGGGCCTCCACAACCTCTCTGGGCAAGGATCAAGTTCAAAAGAAATAGAATTGATATTTCAGAGAGCATGAAATCCACCATGTTCTGTGCCAAGCATAGCATATATCCAAGAAATCCTTAGACAAATTCATGGAAGTAATACCTAACAAGGACTACAAAGCAAAAGATACTGCCTCCAGCTCCAAAGTCTCTGAGCTGTCAGGACCACAGTACAGAAGCTATCCCAGTATGTCTGCTCTCTTCCTTCACTCTTCCCTAAAGACTCACTCTTCGGCAACTGGCAAAGCCAGGGTTCTGGCTGCGGGGACCTTTGATGTGACCTAAAGCAGTTGTGCCCGTGCTAGGCACTCTAGGAAAGAAAGCAGGTATTATTCCGTATACTTTACACACCAAAAAGCTTGGAGATAGGCCCAGCTAACAAGAAAAACATAAAAACGAAGCTACCACTTTCTGAATACAACAGCTATCAAACCCACAAAACATCATTTCACAAGAAGCGTGGCTTCGTTACTTTCAATGTTCAAAGATATTTGCTATGAGTACAGTTTTATTATCCAGTTTTCAGAAGTAAAAGTTCTAAGATGAACTTTAGATAAGACAAACCTTTAAACCATTTTCATAAGTCTAATATTTCAGCATGCTTTATATACCACAGGGAAAATGGACTATTAACACCATTTAAGCACACTCCCCAAACCATTATTTTTCTTCCAGAAAGTAGAAGTTTCTCTTTTTCAGCTAAGATAAAACAGTCGTTAACTAATGGTATCAGATTTTTAACTGGAAAGACTTCAAGTCAGGGAATGACTTAAAATAAGGTCCATATGAAGAGATATATAACACTGTCAATCACTTGGGAACGATGCCTCAAGTGATGTCTTAACATTTATATTTTTCTTCTTAACTGCCAATTAACAATCAAACACAGCGAGTGTGCAATAACACCCTTTAGAGATAATCTCTGCAGAAATTGTGTTGGTTTTTGAAAAAACCGCAAGCATCTCTAAAATTATCATCAGGATAATGAAGCTGTTGTATTTTATTTTGGGAAAACTATAAAACTTAGAAAGTTTGAAACTTCTCACCAGGTTCTTCAGCAGCGTTGATAATTCTTTAGTAAGCGTGGAAAATTTTACAAAAGCTGTGCCAAGATCTGGATTATCCCGACTTAAAAAATTACTTCCAAATTTATCTAGTACTTGTGCATAGTTTTCTTCATTTTGAACATGATCTGCAAAGAAAAATTAAAAATCAGAAAGTTTCTTTCTTGTAGATAGTCAATTATTATTTTAAGCTTAGGTACTGCAATACAGTGACAAAACCAACTGACAAACAGTACTTTCAAAAAAGCCACAAGTTAATGCATTTACTGAAAAATACAGTAATTTTAATATTAAAAAGTAGTATTTCACAAATAGACATATATATGCTTCTTTCAAATCAGCGACTTGAAGTTGTAATACATCCATGAAAAAAGCTCTGTAGTTATTAAAGTAGTAAGATCAATCGAACAATATAAGCACATCTGCTCGTGGCCCTTTTCACCTCCTTTGTAAAACTGAGTTACCCCACAGAATGGAATGTATATTGGTACCCAGCCAAAGACTTGTTTTAATATATTTAATAGCAAATTGGACATACAGAGGTCAGAACCAAGAAGATGTAATTGAAGCCAGTGAAAGTGAGCAAAATCCTTAACTGAAAGATGAAGGAAATTCTGAATTACAGACCATTGTGCCCGAAATGTTTTTCCTGCTTCTATTACTTTTCCTTCTGGCATCTGTTTCCATAAATTTTGTTGTTACTTCTATTTTAGCATCTTTAAATAGAAAATTTGTCACTATAGCCCTTTGGGACACACATTATCACCTCCATCTCTCTTAGAAGAATATTGTTGGTATTAATTAAATCAACATTTCACTTTAATGAGTTTCCTAGTCCTACTATGCTTTTCTTCAGTAAGCCACAAACACAAAACCACAGAGCTATTCCAACTAGCACAAGTTCTGTGAAATGAAGGGAGGGGGGAGGGAGGAAAAAGAGAATAGTTGCCAATAGGTACCATGTTTTCCCCCCAAAGACCTGCAAGTTTTATTTTCTTCAGGTTGTGATATTGCCTGAGAGCATCTGAATTACCGGGGGAGGTGAGGGGGCTGAAAACAAGGAGGAAAACACACCCAAACCCCCCTAAAGTTTCAAACAAGGCTTGTGGATAATGCCCCACAATGCATGAATCTACATTGACATTACTAAGAGCTGATGAAGAGTTAAATAACATTTCCAAGGTATTACAGGTACTCAAAACAACAGTGCACTAAAGCACCAACAAAAAACAGTGAAAACCTATTAGAAGACAAAAATATAACACCCGACAAAAAACAATCACAATGCTTATTTACCAAAACCAAAGCCCATGCATCAGACAAGTTACATTCTAAAATCAGACATTAACACTGAGGTTTTCAAAAGACCAAATATTTAATCATATGTTAATATGGAGTTGTAACTCAAACAGTGTTTTTAATAAAACTGTTCCAAACCCATATGGTTTTAATCAAATAGTTTAGTATTAAAATCAAGGAAACCACTATATAATAAAAAATAATAAATATAATAATAAAATATGCATTTGGTTTTGATGTAAGAGATGTTGCATAAGTATACACAGAAAACTTTATCTAAGAAGGAGCTTTGTCTTACGCAGTCCTAAGCTAAATAAAGCTTCAATGTACCCTACTGTTCTGAAGAAAAAGGAAGGGTAATGGAACAAGGTCGGAAAGAAATCTGCTGGATCATGGAACCCCTGTCCTTGCCAGCGAAGCACCTTTAACCCCACCGTATTTCCTAGTATTTTGATTTTAAGTACTGCGTTGTTTCATAGAGCATTTTAAAAAATAATTTTGTGAAGAGACTGAAAACGAGCTGAAGACAACTGTTTCCTTTATCTGAGGAAAGGCAAAAGAAATTCCCCATCCGAGAGAGGAAGCAGGAAGCAGATCATTGTCCTAAAACAATATATAGGAAATTCTCAAGAATCCCAGATCGCAAATCACCTGAATCTAGACATAAGGCTTTGGTTATGATGTAAAAGGAATACTTCTGTAATTACCACACATATACACATAAAATTCAAGTTTTGAGTAAGAATAATAAATTTTTAATTTTTACAGAACTATCAACATACGTCTTGTAAAAGGAGAAGAAATGTCTTCTACTGAAGAGGTAAGGTAGTTCCCCATGTGACCTTAAAGGTACACAGATGAAAAATTAAATCTGCAACGTAGCCTATGCTAAAATGTAACATACGAAAACCAGCATGCTTAAAGCCAAGAACATGCTTTAATCTCCCTGTAGGTGCCTCATGCAAACACAGAAATGACTTCCCTGTGTCCTAACAGAATTTCCTTTGCATAAAGCAAGTTATAATGTGCATGACTTTATGTTTACTTCCTTAGATACAAGTACTGTAGGAAGGACTTTAATAACCCTAGTGAGGTTCCTAGACAGGAACAATGACAGCAGTACGTACAAAGGATAACGCTTGCCTACTAGAACTGGCTCATGTCTTCTCAGTATTGTAAACAAAGCTCAGTACTGTGATGAAAATAGAACAGCTTCCCCAGACAGACAGCCTCCTCCTCCTCCAGCAGCTCCTTGAGAGGTGCCAGAACCAGACATTGGAGGATGGGCTCTACCCTCACTGACAAAGGGACGTCCCCTCAAAAGGGGCTACAATCATCCCCTCCCTAATGGGATCTGGCAAGGCAGCCAGTACCATAGCCAGTGCTGAGAGCCTCACTACACAACAGCAGACGTAGTACAAAGCAACATACTGGACCGGGTACAGCAGTGATATTTTCTGAGCTGAAAGATGCATCTTCTCTTCTCCACAATTCACACCTTCAGCTGGAGGCAGTTGGACTAGATGATTGCTGTAGGTTCCTTCCAATTGAAATATTCTGTTCTATTCTAACTCAGAAATACTCAGCACAGAATTTACCTTTGTTTTTTAGAAAATCTTGGTAGGGCTCGTAGAGCAGCAATGTTGCAGCAACCATCATTTCTGCGTTATAATTTGTATATTGAGGATTATGTGTTAAGAGAAGGAAATAATACAAATCAATCTGGACACACAGATCCAAGGAACTGAGAAAGGAATGACAGCCACAGCTGCCTACAGCAGCCTTTTGCTACACAGCAGTACTCACCAGAAGCAGGGAGCCCTCTTGCCCTGAGCCCCAGCACTGCGTAGGCTCAGGCTTAAGGCCTCCCAGGACTTAATTCCATCTAATCCTACTGCCCCAGGCAGTCATCTGAAGTTGTCTATGCCTAAAGCCACCTTGTGGGAAACTTTTCCCAAGACAAAGATGGAAGACTTAAATCAGATTCCCAAGGCGTTCATAGAATTTGTACTCTTTCATTGAAACCCACAACATTCATTAAGTAATATGTTTATTTCCCATTCAAAAGTTACCAGAATTTTAGCATATCCTTCTGAACCCAGTGAAATTCATGTCTACTTGTGCATATTAAGCAAGGAAACTGAAGAACAAATACTGTTAAGAGAGGTTAAAGAGCAGCCTTTTTATACTGGGCCTAGAAAACAGATCACTAGAATTAAAGCCTTAAATTTTCTTTATTTAAAAGAGTTTTGGTTCAGATATATTACCCTGAAGGAAAAAAGTTAAATAGTTTACAGAAGAAAAATGCCTAAACACAACTCTTTCCTGTCAGTGATTATACTTAAATTATACCCAAAGAAACCTGAAGAACATCTAAATTACTGAGAATTACTGAATTACTTCTGCATATCTAGTTAAGTAAAAAAAAAAAAAAAAAAAAAAATCATGATTCAGAATCCTGATCAGCTATTTTTATGTTGCACTTATAAAATGGCTTTGTTGTATGGGTAGCCAGAGGAAAAATAACCAAGGTCAGAGTCAAGCTGCATTTATGAATGGAAAAACATACACATCAAAAAAAAAAGACTCAGACTTTAGAAAAAGCAAGAAAGCTGGCAAGGTTAAAAAGGATGGCAAAAGAAGTTATTGGAAAGAAGAAGGCATCCTTTCTCATTTCATCCTGTACAAAGCTGAAATGTAATGAAAAAATAATAGAAAAGAAAAAAAATTGACCACCATATTCTTATTTGGACTTGATAACAATCACGATTTCTGGACTGAGATTGCTGAAGGGAAAAGTAATAAAAGCCTCTTTCAAAGACTTTCAGAGCAAGGAGCATCTCAGCAAGCCTGCAGGGTTCTCTAGATCATCACAGTGTAAGAGCATTGAGAAATAAACCAGCCCAGAAAGGTAAATGACTTTTTTTGCATCTCTGTTCATTGCTGATGTACTTGAAGTTCTCATGGAAGAATTTTCTTTCAACTCTGCTTCAGAGGATTTATACCAAATCTAAGTGCTAACAATGGAATTCATAAAAGCTGACAAAATGAGCAATGGCAAGTCACTTAGACCCAGGTACAGAAAAATAAATAAGAGGCTTTACAGCTATATAGTTTGCCTATTTTATAACAGCCTCAATACTACAAGAAAAATGAGAAGCAAATATAATAGCTAATTTTTAATAAGAGCTCCAGAGAGAACTGAGAATTCAGGTATGCACCAGCAGAGCAGTAATGCTGATATATTCCTCAGGCAATTTGTAAAAACTACAGTGCAGAATAGATTTGGTGGACATGTGGATGAATGAACAAGAAACACAGGTTTCATAAAAATAAATTTTTTACTTCCCAAAACTCCCTCCCCAGGGGATCAACAAGCATATGAGGAGAGGAAATCCACATTAAATTGTCTGTTTGGATTTCTGAAAACGTCTGTCCCTCACCAAAACACTAAAAGGAACTAAACAAACAAAGGATAACAAGGATGAGCCCCACACAGAGGGAAAAGAGGTCAAAACAATGAGATGGGGGAAAGGAAGGAATAAAGAGTTAAGTTTCTCAACAGAGGGAGGTCACCAGTGAAGTCCTGTGATAAGGACCACGTCGTCTAACAACATATAAATGAGTTAGGAAATAAGATTTGTAGCGATAAACTCTGTTCTTCTTTTCCATACAATAGTATAAATTATTCAGGGCAACAGAAACAAAAGCTGACTCCAAAGGTGAGATTAATTTGTCCAAACACAGACTTCTACAACAAAGATCTCCATATTGGAGCTTGGGGTCTACCCTTCCCCTTACATTCAGCATAGGAAAAGTTACAGTTCAGCTCTTCCTAATGTAAGTGTAGAGAAAATCAGATTATCTCACCCTAGAAGTCTCTACATAAATTCATTGATTGTGCACAGAGTCTACGGCAACAGGCTCACATCTGGGTAGCTCCCAAGTCAGATGAGAAATCCCATATTGAATGGCCAATGCATGAAAGTGCGCATTAGGTAAGCATAACACATGACGGAAAACACTACTAACTTTAAGAAATTATTGTGTAACTAGACATTATAAAGAAAAGTTTTGGAGTTATATTGCCTTGACATTCAGTACCAAGCAGAACAAAGCTGAACCTAAGAAATTGTTAAGAAAGAAACAGAGCATGCAATAGAGCAACATAAAAACATTGCCATAGCATGCTTAAACCCTTAATATTGTGTGCATTTCTTGTCACTGTTCACCAAAATTCACTCTTCCTCTTCCTTGTTTTAAATAAGAAAGTCTATGCTGCCATTTTGAAGAAAGAGAATAAGGATGATTAAATGAATGTGACAATTTCTGTAAAAAACAAATAAAAAAAACCACCCCAGAAACCCCCTAGGGCTAATGAGTTCAGAAAAGGGATATTGTGGGTGACTGTGGAAACAACGCAATCCAGAAACCTATTTCAACAAGTAGAGTGGACAACACTGAATCAAGTTTGGATTCATCCACCAAGAAGGCCTCCAACATTACTCTAGCAAGCTTTGGGACTTCAAACCCCCCTACAAATTGTCATGCCCCAGAACACGCAGAAGTCCCTCAATTTGACATCAAATGAGACAATCTGGTTGGCTTGAGGCCAATGCTTTGAGACATGGACAGGGTCAGTCTGCTCCTCAGGGGACTCGAGGCCTGAAGAGCATGCATGGAAAACTTCACAGGGGAGCAAGTGTACATTTAACTAGACTGATGCAAAACTACAAACAATAAAGATTTACATGAATTTAAATTCCTTAGACAAAAGGAAGGGTAAAAGTCCATTAGGAAATATCAAGCATCACGATATCAGTCCTGATATGAAGGCCAGGATTTACCCGAGTCATTGTGAGCTTAGAAAGTCTTTAAAAAAATACTAAAAAATAATAATTAAAAAAAATAATCACTCCATCTTTGCATCATTTTTCTACTTCCTCAAGCATCTGCTGTTGATCATTGCAGGAGACCACGTGCACTGCTGGTCTGACTCAGTATCTTTGGTCTTGCGTGAATTTTATGTTTTTATTTCTCCATTGTTTAAAATCTTTTGACTATACTTGGGAGTTATATCTGGGAACTAATGGAAAAGAGCTATTGAAACATCTACAACAAAACTAATTGTGCAATCTACTGCTGTTACAATTCAATCCAAATGTTATGGGAAAACTAGTCAGAACAGCTTCTCCATTCAGTTCAAGCACCACTCACATAAGATGGGTTCCTAGCTACAGATGCAATCTATCATGCCAGAAATAAACAGCAAGCCAGATAAGGAGGAAGTGGTGAGAAAGAGGTATCACAATTTGTATGTCTCACTGGATTTCATAAAAAGTACTTTACCTAGGGAAAAAGGGATGGGACCTTTCTAAGGGATTTCCACATTTCTGTGCTGCTATGTTTTCATTTCCACAGCAGAAGATTTAAATCTAAACATGACAAATGGGTGAGGGATGTGCACAAAAAGCAAAAAGTATTTGGGTGATATTTAAGCTCTCTTTGTAACCGAAGAGAGTCCCTTGTGGTTCATAATTCAGCAATGAAGAGGAACAAACCAACACACCAGAAGGCCAGGGCTTTCTGAAGAATTGTGTATGAGACCTTGCATTGTGTGAATGTCACTGTTCAAATGTTACTTCAGGCAAAAAACAAAACAAAAAACCCAACTCAACACAACCCAAAATATCCTAGCTATGTCTTTTGGTAGAGTGTGAATTAGATTACTGAAGAGAGAATAATTTCTATTGCCCCTAAATAACCATTTCTCACTAGTCCAGCTAGAGTTCTCGAAAGGAGATTATGAAGCAAGGGAGTTTAAAAAAACCCAACAACTTTTCCTACTCCATTAATTTAATTATGGTCTCACCTTCTAGCAAACAGTTAAATTTGCAAACCAAAATTCCAATTCCGAGTTCTCAAAATGTAGTTTGAAGCTTTCTTATGGAATACGAAAATAGTGACCTAACTCTCACTTGAACTGATAAACGACAATGCATTTTACAGCTGGTTTTAGTAGGTTTTACGTGAAGTTAACCATTAACAAAATCCACTTTCATCACTGAAGCATGATAGGAAAATAGCTGGCTTAGCAATTCTCTTTGTACAAGCAGGCAACATGAGTTTGAATTTTAATTCAGTCACTGTAGAGGGAGCTAGAGTATTACATACGGTGCTTTCTTTATCCAAAAAAAGGTCATACTAACTTGTACCTTTGAAACAAGACTTGTTCAATAAAAGAAAATAAAAAAACCCCAAAACCCACCTATCTAACTATTTATGGTCCTTTTTAAGTGCAGACGAAGCCAATTAAAACCATTAACTAACCTTTAATTGCTTTTACTCAATAAGACTAGTTCATGATATAGTATGGCCTACTTACAGGCATTGAAAACAACATTACTTTTATTACAAGACTCAAATCAAATGTTAGCTAAAATCTCTAGTATCATTTATGTGATTCAAAACAGGAAGAACACTTTTCACGTGTTCTACAATTTTCATCAGTTTTGAAATTCAGTAAGTAGTTACCTTTAAATGGAAAAGCTGTTTGGAGCATCTGAATACTTTTAAAAGTGTAAAACTAAATACACATGTACCAAATACTGTTCTCACTTTGGAGCAGGCTTCACAGTCCATTGGGAAAACATTCATCATCAACTGAAGTTACAGAAAAGCTAACTAAAATCCAGTATTTACAGCCAGAAGGTGTACAGCTCTGCTACCCTATCTGCCTTTGGCACAGTTTTTAGACTGTAAGAGAAACAGAGGTAGACGCCAGGTATACTTTATAACATTTTTAAAACCCAATTTGTATACTGATCTGTGTTTGATCGTTATTTGTTACGGAACTCCAACTGATTTATCAATTCATATTCCAGCCACCTATGCTCTCAAAGTTATTGCTACAGCTCAAATGAAACATCAACAGTGTCTTCGAACAAGCAAAATAATGATAAATCTCCACCATTTTAGCTAAGAAGGGAAATACATAATTTTTATTGTATGTGTTATGAGAGAGCAAGTGTTGACAGAACAAACACATCTACCTATAGATACTACTTTTTATTTATTTATTTTTAAAGCTTTTTAACAAGTTCTCATTCTTATTTCACTTAGAAGTGAACTCCATAAATTGAGTCTGGTACGCTGTCCTGTCACTGTTCTAGTTGAAGGTAACTGCTTCAAATGTTATGACAACAGGAAAACTTATTCAGGGGAATTCTCCTAGAGGCCTTTGAGAAGGAATATGAGGGTGAAAGAATCGGAGAACACAGTCTGATGTATAATCAGAAGCAAAGAAAGAAAATTTTTAAATCCAAACACTCCTAAACAGATAAGCATCTCTTATGGTATACACTTCAACAGGATAAATTGCTGTTCTCGAATGTGAAATCAATGCTAAGGTTCTCAAGTAAAACTGAATACAATGTCTTACCTTGGCCCGAATTATATATTGCTTTCACAGATTTTTTCACCTTCTGTAATGCAGTTCTGTCTTGATCCAATGCCTACAATAACAAGAAATAAACAAACATTAAATATTGACTGCATTGATGATCAATAGAATACACTATAACATTTAAAAAACCCCAACCCAAATAAAACACAAAATAAGTAGTTTCACAGACTGGAAAACACTGCAGATACAAGATATTCAGCCTGCAGGAAGGTCTGAGGTCATTCAACCCCTTCAAGATGAATTAAAGAACTGAACATGCTCTGAAGGCAGAGCAGCAGTGACAGTGCTAAAAAAAACCACTAGTTTTGCAAGGGACAAAGCATTTATTCAATTTTTAATATATTTTGGGGAAAAAAACCCAACCACCAAGAAATAGTAGATGCTTCTACTACAGCTCTATAGTTTGTACTACAACTAAATTACTTGTTAACTTCTATGGTTTTCCCCCAGTAATGGTCTTCCAACCATAGACACAGATTATCACACTAAGGTCTCCCACCAAACTCCACAACAAAATTTTAAAAATACAGAAGATGAAAAGCAGTAAATCAAAAGAAAAAGACTAAGATCTGATTTTGTGCAACATAATGCGACTGAAAGGAAATATTTATAATAATACTCCTCAAATACGCATTTTCAGGATTCGATCATTCTGAATTTCAAATTTTCTGCAATTGTTTCAAAGTCTAGAAGAAAATGTTATTAAGTCATGACAAATTTAGGATTAGATTTCTAGGTACTTTCTTTTTTAAGCAACAACTCCCTAGACACTCTCAATCTCATATCAGAAAGCAAATTAAGATAAGAAAGAACTATTATGATAAAGCAAAAAATAAAATCTAAGTAAACATTAGACTTGGGGAATTAAGAACCCTAAAAGACACATACTGGTACTGTGTGCAGTGATCCAGTTAATTTCAGTTAAGTGTGAAATTTGGATATTCTGCATGCCTAACAAATTGTACACAGTTCCCTGCTATCCATGGAGAACATACACAGAAATGCCTAAACCATTCCCTGTATTTTTTGCCACATACCTCACAGGCACTTTCCCATCACATAAGTAACGTTTGATCAATAATCTCAAGCCTTAATGAAGCTGGCAGCGTTTGCCGTATTATATTCACGTTCAAATCACTGAAGATTGGAGAACTTAGAAGTACTGACAGGACAGCAGTCCAACTGAGCCTGCTAGCTGTTGTAGACCACAAAGTTCATGTTGCAGAGACTTTGGGTTGCCATGTTATCCAAACAGCTTAAAGCTCAGAGCTCCTGCGGGTCTGATAGCTGAAGATTGGCAGACCAAGGCAGAATGGCAGCTACTCCTACAGCAGGGCGTACCTCAGGGAGGGTCATCACCAGAAACACTGAGTAAAAACTTAACCGATAAGCAGAGTTTTCACTGCCAAAGCTGAGATGATTAAAGTATATTCCACCAGGCATTAAGAAGCTCCAAAAAACCCACAGCAGGAGATCCAGGTCAACTATAGTGTTAAGCACTGGAGATGGTCATACCTAAGAGTGGTACCCTCATGCAAGTTCAACAAGCTAAGTGTTTCAGCATATGCACGCTTACAGTAGGAATCCATAAGGAGTGTGTTGGGTTTGC